ACGTTACTTGAATAGTTTTGATTTCTCCGTTAGTGCACAGCGCTTATATACGCTAAAAAAGTACGATTATCAATTTTCGTGCACCTCGTATCTTTTTTTTAGATGTACTGAATTTATTTTTATGACTTAGGTGATATTATAGCGTACAATCACTTAAATGTTTTCGCAGAACACGCATTATAAAGATAAACAGCAAGTAATACACGTAATAATCTAAAGCAATAAATAAGAGTCTGCGTGATTTCCGGATTGGAACTGTGTTTATGTCATTTTCATGTCGTTTCGTTGATATTTTAGTTTATTTTATTACGTTTCAATAACAGCTTGATAGCCTATATTGCAAAATATAATAAATTTAAAATGTAACGTTTGTTTATACAAAGTTATTTAAAAATCATAATATTATACACCGTTGAATTTGGCTCAACGTCAATTGCAACATTGCATCAACAAAAATGTGTCCAGTTAAAAAAAGATCAGTGATTTTGTCACCTTGCAAACTCTAATTTGACAGGTGGTGATGTTTACTCTTTTATACGATTTATTATTATGTTTGATAGAAATATTACACAAATACCGTTTTCGTGCAATTTAACAATTTACTGTTTTTTTTTGTAAATAAAGTCATATACGAGTTTTGTATTTTTTTGCGAAAACTGTGCGACACTGATAGCTGCGATATAACATGTCACACGCGCACGCAATAAAGAGTCGGTGATATCAAACTTGAAGCAATATTATAATAAATTTTATTATTAACATTCTTTAAAGATAATCACTGTATGCGAAAAGCAACTCTTGCGGGTGGTTATGTTTCATAAAGTGAATGTTTTAAACGCGCATATGCAAATATAAAAAAATGATAGAAAAATGTTCTTAACGTTTCGAAGATAAAACTTGAGCTTCTCACGACATTTGTTCAAACTCGTGACTCTAGATAATGTTAACAATAAAAAATATGAAATATTGTTGCATTATACGTTCGTGAATATTACATATTCACGATATATAATAAATATTTTTTTGGTTTATATATTCATCGTACAAAGAAGGCTAAGAGCGGAACTATTTTAAATGCGATTTTCAATATTTTCCCATGAAAGCATCTTTTTAATTTTGCTTTTTCTGAATTCAGCACAAAAACACAAGAAAACATGCATAAAAAAATTTCATTGCTGGGGCCAAAATCCAGTAGTTTTACCTATACTCCTTTGCAAGCGATAATAATTATTGGTTGTAAAAAACTACTTTTATCTTTTATTACACGTACATGTGTTGTCGTAAACATTGGTTTTATTTATTAAAAGATATGTATGGACATAATCGTTTTATTTTATAACAAAATATATAAAGATATATAATAAATGTTTTAAGAAATATCTACATTTATCCAAGATAAGAAGAGTGCGGAAACAAATAAACATTTTTATTAAAAAAGTAAAATAAAAGTAAAACACACTTTATCAACAACTACAACACAGATTTATAGCTTAAAGGATTATGATAATTTGATAAAGACATTTATTCCTTATACGTGAAACACGCAATGTTATAAAGATAAATAATATATCTTGTCGGGATTAAAAAAAGAAGTAAACAAAAATTAACACGTATATATACAGATAAAAAAATATCGTAAACAAATCATCTTACATTTTACAAAATTTAAAACACAAAATATAAATTAAAGAGTTTGTTTTACATTTAAAAAAAGTGTTAAATTTAACACAGAAAGTTTAATGAATTCTATAATTGTTACGAAATGTGAGTACACTTATATAATTAGAAAATTCTAGCTCAAAAATAAGCAAAACAAAGTAAAAAAAAGATAGATAACTCACATCTCAGCACTGTCAAGAAAAGAGTCAATCATAAAACAATCAATTGTTATTGTTAATTTTTGTGCACTGATGAGAGTAATAAAAAAAACTGTAATCAAGAAAAAATTCGGTACTGCTATAGTGTATATGAATATAATAAGTTTTTTTGTATAATAAACTATAATACACATATATTCATATATATATATATANATATATATATATATATATCAGGTTTTTTCTTAAATTATAAGCTATTTACTTACTGATGGTAATTTTAATATACGATATTTTCAGAGAAAATACACGTAGACTTTTTTCTAACTGTGTACTGAAGAATATAGTTTGCGCTATGATATGCGTTATAAAGACGAAGAATAAAATGCATACATTTGTTACCATATGCATTCGTAATCTACTCCTTTATATTATTAATTAAAAAAATCTTTTTGTTTAAATTTACAACACTAAATAAAACTAAACCGCACATCTATCTATAACGCAGATTTACAGTTTATTCTTAGAATAGAATAAGGACAAAGAAACAAATAAAGAAAACATTAATGTAACAATGTTTGCTTTTTGTGTAATTTTTTATTTAATTTCAACATTAAATATTTACAAACTTTCAGTTTGTTATAGCTAAGTTAATAATCAAAGTTATTAAACTTATATTATTAATAATACGAGGTAATATTGTTAGTATTTTAAAAAAAAAACATATTATTGATGCAACTATTTATTCAGTTTTAAGTAACTTTATAATTCATAATTCATACAAATATTGTTTGCACACATTTATGCTTTTCTTCTGTCGTTTATGGTTTTTGTGTCGTGCGTTGTTATTGTTTATTTTTGTTTAATAATTTTCCGACGAGAGACGGAGCCACTTTTCCCAACTAATGAATAGTAAAATAGTATTTGGTTAATGTTAATAGTGATAAACTTCAACATATATTTTACAATTATATATATACTTACTAAAGACAGTCCTATTTTTCCTAAAGTACCCCACTATAAAAAACAAAGTTTTATTTAAGCATCGTAGCACACAGAAAGATACGTAAAAACTATTCAATCAATAATTTATATATTATTATAAAAAGAACTTGATTATCATTTATTTTAAACATCTATTTAGACATTTAAAATCTTATCTTACACATAAGTAACTAAAAAATATAAATATACATATAAACAATAAAACCTAAAAAAAATAAATTATAAATAAATCACATTATATATTAAATATATATGTATGTCTTAAATCATAACTAATAAAAAAGTTCGTCGAAAGAAACATATTAGAATAAGTGTGTGTATATGTGTCACAGAATGTTTAGTAAATATGGCAAATTTAAAAAAAATTACATTAGTACAAGGCATTAGAGTAATACTTACAATAGATGGATCTGCCAAAGCTTCAGCCATTGCTTTACCCACAGCTTCAGCATCGGCATCGGCAAGTGCATCAGCCCATGCATCAGCTTCAGGATCGGCAACCGCTCTTGATTCCACAGAAGGAGCGTTAATAATTGCCAAAACAAAGATGATGGCAAGAGTCAATGGCAAAAACAAACGCATTTTGTTGANTGTTTAATAAAGNTCAAGTTATANTTNAACGTTACTTGAATAGTTTTGATTTCTCCGTTAGTGCACAGCGCTTATATACGCTAAAAAAGTACGATTATCAGTTTTCATGCACCTCGTATCTTTTTTTTAGATGTACTGAATTTATTTTTATGACTTAGGTGATATTGTAGCGTACAATCACTTAAATGTTTTCGCAGAACACGTATTGTTGTAAAGATAAACAGCATATTTATTAAGTAATATGTACGCGATAATCTAAAGCAATAAACAAGAGTCTTCTGCATGATTTCCGAATTGGAATTGCGTTTATGTCATTTTCATGTTCGTTGACATTTCAGTTTACTTTATTACATTTCAAGAACAGCTTGATAGCCTATGTCGCAAAATGTAATAAATTTAAAAAGTAAAGGTTGTTTATTTGGTTATTTGAAAATTATAATATTGTACACCGTTGAATTTGGTTCAACGTCAATTGCAACATTGTATTAATAAAAATATGTAGGTCCAGTTAAAAAAACGCCGGTGACTTGTCATCTTGCAAACTCTAATTTTGACAGATGATGATATTTACTTTCATATACAATTTATTATTATGTTTGATAGTAATGGTAACCAAACATTGTTTTTGTGCAAATTAACAATTTACTATTTTTTGGTAAATAAAATGATATAAGAGTTGTTTTGCAAAAACATGTGCGACACTGATAGCTGCGACATAACATGTCACACTTGCACGCAATAAAGAGTCGGTAATATCAAACTTGAAGCAATATTTGTTAAATCGTGAGTTAAATTCGTGCAGAAGAGATGAAATCTTTATGTATTTGTGAAGCATAAAGAGAATAACAATAAATTTTATTATTAACACTCTTTAAAAATAATCTTTGTATGCGAAGAGCAACTCTTGCAACTGGTTATGTTTCATAAAGTGAATTTTTTAAACGCGCATATGCGAATATAAAAAAATTGTAGAAAAATGTTCGTAACGTTGCAGAGATATAACTCGAGCTTCTCACGACGTTTGTTCACACTCGTGACTCTAGATAATGTTAACAATAAAAACTATGAAACATCGTTGCATTATACGTTTGTGAATATTACACGTATCTATTTTTGGATATTTGTAAAATTATATTGCGGCAAATCGCATTTCCGTGATCTTTCTCGTATACGAATTTACATGATCTTTGATTACAGAGAGAGCAGAATTCACAGCGTTGCTTTGCCAGCCAAAACATCTTTGCTTCCGGAATCTTCGATTACCGAAAATAACATACCGCCGCCAATACCACGTCGACATTCTGCTACCCCAGCGGTAAGAAAGTTTTTAAAATCTTATTACAAAATATATGCACTGTTATTACGCTTTATTTCTGTTCAAGATATTGAACTTAAATTGTTTCAATGACTTTCTTCAAAATGTATCGAAAAATCACGTGTTATACAAATGTCACGATAATTCTGTTGTTACGTAAAATATTCTACGACACATTATACAAATAAAAGAGATAGGTTGCTGAAGTGATTAAAGATTGAAAAGACGTAGAGAAAGACGGAAGATATTAAAAGGATTTTCTGAACTTAGAGTATCTCCCATGCAGATAAGTTCGGAAAGTTGTGTAACCACATCGTCGGTATTCGAGGCGGTATTCAGGCGCGCCACATAATCTCGACGCTTTAAATCACGCGACTAAAACCCTTCCGGAGTATAGGCACCACCACAACTTCGTAAATTAATACCACTGGACGTTACACGCAAAGTCGCTCGATAAAATTCAAATTAAAACTGAAATTCTCTGTAATCAAGAAAATTTTGCGATAGAAAATTAACAACAAATATGTATTTTACCGGAAAATTGTGTACGCACACACATTTGCATGAGCAAACGCTACATTCGGGAAATTATGATAACACTCACTCAAATTTGCAAAGCCGCGTCAAACGCATTGAGAGCGCTTCAAGTATTTAAAGAGCAATTCGCGCGACGTATAAGAGTTTGCCAGCAATAAATGTTTGAAGCTAATGAACTTCTCCGGTACTTTACGTGTGTCAACAACCCACGTTTAAACTTGATGTTTGTCTTTGAACAGAGATAAGCGCTAATCTGGCACTTATATAACTTTTGTAACCCGTAATTCGTTGCCGAGGTAAACTCGGTGCAAGAAGAACAATAGGTGTATCTTTCTACCGTAAATTTCTCATTTACTTGCTTGAGAAGTAACTCGTGAACTCTTTTTTCTTCAAAATAACGAGATGCAACAAAATAAAGTTACATCTGCTTGATTCGAATTAAATTATTGAATATGGAGAGAGAGAGAGAGAGAGAGAGATACGCGAAATCGCTCAATTTCTGTTCGCACAGGTAGCACCACCTCCGATTCCGCTGAGACCGCCGGCAATACCGAAAAGATGCAAGAATGAGAAACCCATACTGACAACAAAGCAAGATAGTCAAGTAAATCATCAGAAAACAAACGATCCGTCGTCGATGATTTCGACCGCATGGGACAACGTGGATTCGACGAATAAAAAATTCATAGACTTGAATTCATTCGCAAATCTAGATCAAATGCCTCGTCAGGTAAATACGTCAAATCTTGTTCTTTCATTGAAATGTCATTAAAAAATTATTTACACGTCGAGAATCTGTGCGTGTCGTGATGAAATTTTTCAATTCAGATTATTATCACATGTCTTCGCTCGCAAAATAGAGCTCTTTAGAATCTGATACGCTCTTTCCGTCTTTTCGCGGATTTCAGGATTACGTGTTGAATAATGGGGGAAAGGACACGCGGGGAGCGAACGAGAATAACGATTTCGTGGCCGACTTCGAACGAGCGAACTTCCAGGAGGACGGAGGCAAAGTTCTCGAGCAGAAGTCAAGTTTCGAAGATCTGCAGAAGGCTTCCTTGGATCTCGAGAAAAGACTTCACGAGAGAATTATTAAGAGCGCCGAGGAGAAGTTCGAGGATTCGAATAATCGCGCGGATGCTCGACAGGACGCGATCACCGTATCGCAGCCTATTAATAGGTAAATAATTGTTTGCGTCGAAAATTGACTTGACGTCGAGTCTACGGAACTTGATGTGTTCGGGGGTGTCGATTGCTTCTTTTAAGTGTGCAGTGAGATACAATTACTCACGAATGGTCTTGTCATGTCTCATCAACGTGAAGTGTACCACTCGGAGAGACAAGTTGGCAACATGGGGATTCGGTTCAGGTCGAACGGAAGCGAGATATTACGGGCGATTACGTTTACGATAGGTTCGTTAAACGAAGCGGAACTTCAAACTCGATCTCGACGAGCTGCGCGACTAGAAACAGGAATACTCGGGCATTCTCGGGACTATGTCTGTTGGAAATTTCTCTCATAATTTGACGTACAAATCGGATTATATATATTACAGAGAAAGAAGCTGTAGTGTCGGTTTTCGATTTTTCGTTTTTAATAAACGCTTAATTTTTATTGTAATAAATTTTTTTAAAAAGAAAGAGATTAACCTGTGAAAAAAATCTCTTATGTACGGACAAATTCTCATATGCGATTGTATTTGATCGCCAGATGTGGAATTTGTATCCGTATATGAATTTTTTTCTCAAGTAATTTAATTTTTTTAACACGTTCTTTTTAATCAATTGCCGACGCGCGTTTTGCAAACGATTTATGATACAACAACAGGATTTCGAATCGACTCGGTTTGCAAAGATCGATCTCTAATTTTTCCGCGCAGGCATCAATTATCGAAGTTCGCAAAAGACGACGAACCCGAGCAGAAAGAATCATCCGAAAACGAACCGAAAGAGAGAACAATGCTAAGAGAGGTCTTTCAAGAGGAAGAATCCAAGTACACAACAACAATTTTGTTCGGACGTGAACGAAGATCGAAGTTCGAGGAGTTACAGGCGGCCTCGAAGAATCTAGAAAGACGTTTGCACGGAGACGAGGATTATCGTCGACGTGCGGAGATGGAAAGACGGATCAACAGGGACAAGCCTCCCAGGTAAGGATACGACGCGTCGCGTTCTCTGTATTCTTTTTTTTCGATTTGTGGAATCCTCATAATTTGAATGCAAGTTCGACGACAATGACAAAAATATATGTAATATTTTCTTCCTATTTGTTGTTGTTTTCCTATTTGTTATCTGAAGAAAACAATCAATAAAAAATAGATTGTACATAGAACAAAACTTGAGTAAATGAATCTGTCTTTTGTAATATACGATTTCAGATACGAAGATCTCGAGAGAATCCCGCAGGATCTCGACAGACGTTTTCATGGCGAGCAGAAGGCTCTGGAGCATCTAATCATGCGGAGCAAATACGAGAGCGATATGGAAAGGGCCAGAAATGTTCTGCAGCATAATCTCCGAAAGGAGCGAAGCTGCGGCGAGAAACTTGAGAAACTGCCGAAGGCTACGCAGACGAATTTACCGCCGCCTTTGAGCGCCATTTGTCAGAGCCCAGTACCGAAGCCCATCAGCGTCCGGCAGGATAGTAACGTTTCCTCGGACAGTTTCAGCCAGACCAGCTCGCCGAGCTACACCAGCAAGACAATGGAGGCTCCTCTTCTGCCTCACAAGCACGGAAAAGTACCAGGTTAGTCGCAAAGCTCACTTGACGGTAGAAAAACATAAATTGTAATATGTGCAATATATCTTCTCGAAATATCACAAATTAAATTGCATATTAACCTTTCAGTGTCAGACATAAAAATTGACCTTCCAGTTGTCCTAAACTAGATCTGTGAGATCAACGCGACTTTAAATTTGAATATTTCCGCAAAAGGCAATATTTTTTCACTTTCTTTTTTTTTTTTTGAATCGAGAATTTACTTTAGTCACGTGTCTTTAAAAACGTGACTGAAGTAAGGTCACGTGACAGGGAGGAGAAATACTACGTGACTAAAGTCACGTGACTCTACAAACTATACTTTATTCACGTGTCTTTAAAAACCGGATTGAAATGTCACAGTACTCGCCAACACACAGAGAAACGGAACAAAGCATGACCGTCTTGACTATGACAACCATATATTACACATATGAGAGGTGTCAGAAAAACGTAGAACATTATCATCAATGTCTAAGGCCCTAAAGTTTTTTTCATAGCCTTCAGAGATGTCGCGTTAAATTAATATCTAGTAGATATACTGGTTTAAAACTGTTGGGTGGATCTCGGAGATCCATATCTGGCACCGAAGGGTTAACACTCAGCTTTTTTCTGTTGCGAGATATCGAGATTTCTTCTCGAAAACGACAGATATAAAACGCGCGTGGCAGAACACGCCACGCAACTGAGATGAAACGGAAAAGTTTAACTCCGCGCCTTACCGCGCGTTTCGTCTTCGTATTTCTTCTTTTCTCTTGTCGCTTGGGTGATCGATAAAGTTGTCTGCTCGAAACAAACAAGAAAAATAGAAATTAAAAGTTTCGCGCGATTTATCGTGAAGTTCGAAGACAAAAAAAAAAAAAAGAAAAAAGAAACCCGACGTGTACTCTTCGTCGCGTTCTTCTCTGAAAAATTCGTATCTTCGGAGAAGATCGGAAACGCCCGTTGAATCTGTCTGTAACAAAGAAATTCCGCGACCAATATTGTCGTTGACACCTTTCAGGCAGAGCTTTAGTGTTGGAGCGTGATAACTCATCCGGACGGCCGATAACGAAGTCTACGAGTACGCCGGCCAGTTTGCAGACTATCGTCAGGATGCACGGGAACAATGGTTCGTTGCATCACAAAGTAAGTCTCAAAAACAAACCGATTTTCCGCGTGAGAACCGGCGCGCGTGCCATCAGAGAGAGAGAGAGAGAGAGAGAGAGAGAGAAAAAAAAAAATAAAAGCGACAAAAAACTTGTGCATTTTATTTTTTTGACATATCGGACGTTTAATTCTTTAGCTCCGAAATATTTTAATCTTATCTGATTACAGAATTTTCATATCGCACTTTGCTACTTATTCAATTTTTTTAGTAACGTCGTAAAGCGCGGGATTTTGCGAGCGCGTGTTCTGAATACTTGATGTGTGTATGTATGTCTCTGCTTAGATAATCAGGAACATGACTGGCGGCCACTACGTGACGACCGGCAGACTGCGTTTCAGATCTGTGCAGATTGTGGTGAATGCCATCGCCCTCTTGGCCATAGCCGGTGGTCTCGCCGCGTACTTCAAAAGTAAGTTCCGACTTACTTAATTACAATTAATTTTATCATCGCAGCTGTTTCTCGATCAAAAATTACAATTTTAATTCAATTTTGACGTGATACGAATTTTCTCAACTCGTCGTCGAGTCGCAAGTAAAACACAGATGTGGCTGTTTATTCGGCACAATGCGCGACACGCGTAAAGTTGGAAGGCATCGAGCGGTGCGAGGTATTTGACCGAGATAAACACGATTGTTCACCTCTTTGAACCGCTTTAATGCGCGTGCAAGTGCAGCAACGAGCTACATACAGAACCGAGGGATCAATAGTGCGAGTTCTCGCAACCCACCTGATTCCAAATGTCAACATTAGCTCGGTAACGAACGGAATATGTGTTTCTCGTCGAGTTTTTTTTTTCACAAAAATTTCATGTAAACGTTTTAAAATTCTCGCTTTCTCTATAATATGTTTGTTTTATGTAAACGAAACTTGCGCTCCCGCGTAACAAAATATACTGTCGATTTCAACAAAAATTTCTAATAGTTTTGCAATATCAATATTTGAAATAAATTATTGAAATCGCACTTGAAATTTACAAACCGAGATAATCGCGATATCGAATATTACGTTTGCGAGTTGACAGGCTGATAATTGCGAAAGTTCGAAGCGCGCGCATACATAATCCCAATCTGTTTGCTGTGCGAACGTTACGCAAAGATATTATATGTACACTACGCGACAAATCTGTTAAATTCTGATTCGATTTATAATTCAGAATGATGTTGACTCGAAATTTAAAATCAAAGTAAAGAAGTATATATTGTGCTTAACACCACGAGTCACACACACAATTTTGTGTCCGAAAACCAGTCCGAAGTTGTTTGAAATATTTTTCACTGATCACACAGAGTCCGAAAGTGACTTGAAGACGAACAGCATATACACGTCTATGATCCCGATAGGCGAATATCCGTATTTGATCACGGAAGAACACAATCCAGCTCCGGGAATATGTCTACCTGTCATCGTGACCTTCTGCCAGCAGCACAAGGTAACACAGCTGTATTGAACTTCAGTGTTTCTCATCAATGCGAGCGAACAACACATTGAGATTTAGTATAGAGGAAAATCTTTTTTGATTATTCGAACATAAAAAAATGACGGAACTCCTTACATTATCGGAAAAAGAGGGGAGTTTTTTTTTTTTTTCATAAATCTTTTTCTCGCGAAATTCATCATCTTCGAAACTCCCGTATTTTTTATAATAGCTCGTACAAAAAACGCAATCAGTAATTCAGCTGGTTCGTTTGGAATCACCCTCAATGAGATTTATATTTATATTTTCTAAAAAGGAGAAAGAAGCTCAAGCAAAAGCTGTTTTTTGCGAGAGAACGTAAAATAATTTTCGCGAAATGTACGCGGCGGGCGTAAATGCCGGAATCCGTGCTCCGGTATGTGGCATTGTAATAGCGCCACTTGTAACAAAAGCGGCGAGTAAGAATGACAGCGCGATATACTTTCGCCTTTCTGCGGGAAAACGTCGTCATGATGAGAATTAAAAGCAGCTGTCGGTGGTCGGTAATTCCAGCTCTGTCTCGGGTGAATACGTGTTTTACGTTCAACCCAACCCTTTGTTCTCTGTTACAGTGCGGTCCGTTCTCGGCGACGGGGATGTTTTAAAATTCATAAGATGCGTTTGCGATGTGCAGCCGTGCGTATCGGAAACGAACGTGTCCGCGAGCACGAGCAAAGCCGAAACACGCGAAAATGTGTTATCGTTATGTGTTGTAGAAAATTTTAACAAGATTGGCAAAGTTCGCGCGTTCTACTTACGGATTCCATATCTTGAATATTGTCTGAAGAAGTTCGATACTACTCGTTCGAAATTGGGAATTCGAATCGCTTTCGTGACGAAGTTAGTTTTTCAATTAAAAGAGAATATCGACTAAGTAGTTCTTAGTCGTTTCCTCTGCTATAATCTCGTGTGTCGCAAGTAATCAGGAAACTTTATTGAGAGACTGAAGTTTGCGTAATTATTGCAAATGAATTTTTTTTGGTTTTTTTTTTTTTACTTTAAAGCGTCAGAAATTCGGTGCTGTTTTTTTAAATCTTGAATTTGTCTCGCTCGAGAAAAACTTTTTTCGCAGTTAGGAGATAATTGTATCAATTAATTTAATTTCGAGTAATTCACTTTTTTTTTTTATTTCGCGCGAATTACAGGCGTCGCAACAAATTGCGTCGTACGTACAATTCTTGTCATGCAAAAGCGTGTATTTTATTTGATATTTGAATCCCGGCACGGATTTACATATGATAGCGTTGTAATCACGGCTAATGCTATCCGACGTAATCTCGATGTGTGATTTCTAAAATTAATGCGCATTTGCATTTCAATCGCTCAGGCTCCGTACAACTACACTGTGTTTCCGAATTATATGGGAAATTTTGGACAACGGGAAGCGCAGAACGAACTCGAGCTTTATGAAGCTGTCGTCGACGTCAGGTGCTACGAACTGGCTGCTCTATTTCTGTGTAGCGTTTTCGTGCCGAAATGCGGACTAGGAGGTCGCGTCGTACGTCCGTGTCGCAGTCTCTGTCGTCGTAAGTCTGAAACTTTTAAACAAATAATCGAAAAATAACACTCCGATAATTTTCAACTAAGCGAGAAATAAAATAGAGCCTCAAGAGTCATGTTGTGTTTCAAAAATTCCAGAAACAATTTTTCTACACGACGTGCAAACCGAGTATCTTGCGTGTAGAGTCCTTCGAATTAATAAGTGTATTAAATTGCGCTTTAAAAATATTTCGCATCCTGCGCATGACTCTTAAGGCTTTGTCACTTTTCTCTAAATTACTTTTTTATCATTGAAACATTTGTATTTACTTACCTACTTATAAAACACTTTTCTCCGAGTTTGTTTTTCATTTTTATTCAATGCAAAATATGTCGCAGATATGTATTTAATTTATTCCACAAACGTAGCGATTATCTCGTAACGTTTTATAACGCGAAACCTTCTTTCAGTTCGCGCGATAATGCAAAATTGAAAAACCATCGAGCGATATACGCAAATAAACGATAAAATCTTTTTATACCGACTTGGTGCCGCGACCGCTGAAAATTTTGTCCCATTTTCCGCTCGATATTCCGCTCTTAACCTCCTTCTTTTCCTCATCCTCCCGAAAAAAAAAAAAAAAACGAATTTCTTTTCCGTTCGATTTCAGAGACTAAGAGACGATGCGGCTTCTTTCTGAAAGTCTTTGGTTTGTCTTTACCGGATTATCTCGAATGCGATCTTTTTCCGGACAGCATGAATCCCGAAGAATGCATCGGACATTACGAAGTGATGCAGGCGGCAAGAAGAGCCGAGAAATCGAGTAAGTAAAAGCCGAATGCGAAAGTTTTAGCGCTTAAGTTTCAGCGTATCTTAGTTACACGCTTCTTTCACGTATAGCTTATACTTCACTCTTCTCCGTCAGTTTCTCCTTCTTATTCCCATTGTTGAAGTTAAATTTCTCTTTCCTTCGTTGTGTAAAACAGTTTTCTCCGCTTCAACTTGCACTTGAAAAGAAAAAGAGACAAGAATAATAACGCAATTGCTTGATTTTTTTTCTCATTGGTTTTTTTATCGTAATTTTGTTAACTACGTACCACCGGCGAAATACCTTACACGTGAAATGTTTTGCGTGGAAATTAATATTATTTATGTGTTTTGTCCTCTTTTGTTCCTTATTCGCGCGCGAACGTTAATTACAGAAAACATCCGCGGAAACGGAACCAATTGTTGAATAATCCGATATTCCCATTGTTCCCAGCTTCCTTTGACGTGTTTCCTCGGTTTCCCCTTTTACGCCGCACTATACCTCGCTCTCTTATGTTATATGTATATTTCCTATTGTCGCTCGGTCTCCTCCCGCGCAACGTACTGATGATTAATAATTGCAATGCAAATGACGTACATCATATTAAAATTCACGTGGTAAAAGAATATTTTATCAATTTTTACGAAGTAAATTTTAGTTTCCGTAAATTTTCTGATCGTAAATTTTGATCCTGACAACATGAAGAATTACAAAACAAGAAGAGATATGAGATTCTAGAATTTTTTTCGAACACACTGCTCGATGAATTTGAATGACAGTCACGCGCGCGCGTCATGTGCATAACGCGCGCCGATATGCCTGGCTCCGATAACTGGGTGGTGCTTGAAATTCTTGCGAAGCTTTGAAATGAGAGAAGAGAGAATTAAATGATGGCCGCGCGCGGGCCGCCTGCAATTTCCAAAGCAAATATTACGTAAATCGCGGTGACAGGCGCGCGGCGACGGGATTGATCAGGAAGTGTGCCTCCGTCCCTCGTCTCGCGGCGAATTTAATTCGCGATCGCCCGGATCGCGCCGCTGATAAAGAGAGATTCATTCGCGTCCGCAGTTAATTAAGATTGAATTGCGTTGTAATTGCGAACCCCAACTCAATCGGACTCGAATTCAAAAGGATTTTCGAGATATTTCGATGGCTATTTTTCTCGAGTTTTTCTTCTTTCTTTGTATGCATATATCTATATATTTCCTTCGGGTTTTTCCGTTCCCGAATTGCGGCAATAAGACTCTGCGCGATTCAATTTAATGATTTCGTTAATCTCGCGATTGTAGAAGTAGTGTAATTAAAAGTTCGCTCACTGAGAATTTTTTAATCGCTTTTTTGCACGCTATTCTCTTCCCTATAAAAACATTATTTTTAATCTGTCCGATAAAAATGTTTAATTAGAAGAAAATTCTCCTCTCGTTGCGCATTTACAAAAATTACGTACTCTAATTTCTCAAAATTAATTAGTTTTGAAGAGAGATTTTTATATAAAAAATAATAAGATAGTCGAAAGACTTCATCAAGAAACACGCGCGCGCATCATCTAGTGCCAATGACATTGTGTCACCGGTAGAGATACTGAAAGCGGCATCTGTGTAATGTGTGCGGTTGTGTTTGGTAATTGCGAAAGAAGTTCAGTAACACCCTATGTACGCATACGTGTTCCCACATATCCGGGCGATATCGCGATTTTGTGTACCCCGAGCTGTCGCATGTGTCCATCGCTGATGGAATCTTAATTGCAAAATCCATATTAAACTATCGTATGACGGCCCATCTGCGACGCCAAGCAGCTTTATTGAGTCGGGCTTGATGCATGTGTACATATCGCATATATATTATGTGTGTGCGTGTGCGAAAGCACCGAACCGCAAACGCAGGGTGTCATGTCCATCGTATGAGAAGACATATTATGAAAGATATAACATTACGCACCGCAACCGAGAGAAATCGAGATATTGTTGACATTTCTTGTAAGAGTGCATTTTTATAGGAAAATATGTTCTATTCTCTTTTGTATGTTTATTTATTTATTTATTTATTCGACGGCCAATGTCGCAAAAATAAAAATAAAATCAAGTTGCAAAAAGCGGCAAAAAAAACTATATACGAATAAAATGAGAAATCCTTTCGATTTGTTTACGTAGTATGCAGCAGCGGGTTTCAATGCGACGGCACAAGATGCATACCATCGGATTGGCGATGCGACGGTCATCTGGACTGCTCCGATCACAGCGACGAGATCGAATGCGGAGAATGCAATTTCAGTTCGTCGTTATCTCCGATGTCTTCGACGCCATCCACCACATTCGGCAAGATAATAAAAGGACCCTCCGACAAGGCTTCCTCCACCAAGTCCTCGTTGCACTGCGGCAAAAGAAGATGCATGTCGGCCAGTCATATCTGCGACGGTGTAATGGATTGTCCGTGGGGACAGGACGAGCGGTATTGTTGTAAGTAGATCTGTGATGCGTATTCTGTGCTCGTATTGTTAAAATAAAAACAACAACAAAATATTGCAAAACAAATTGCGATGGTATTTTTATAATTTATATTTTTATAAGATATAAATAGTTTCCAGAATCGCAAATTGAAAATTCTTATTGTTTTTTTTTTTCAGTAAAACTGAGCGAAAGAAACGGAGACATCGGCAAAGGCCGGCTCGAGGTGTACCACGCGGAACTTGGTAAATTTGTGCCGGCGTGTATCTCGCATTGGGAATCCACATCGGCACAGGAAATTTGTGCTATGCTGGGATACACGTAAGTTATCGAAAGCGCGACACATTATACAAAATTGATTCTGAAATATCGCCGGATTTGCCTCTTCAATCTCCGATTTCACACGCATTTTTTACAGAGTTGCGAATACCGTCATCAACGTAACGAAATTCGATCTGGAAAACGTTACTACTGAGGATACCGAGGATACCGGGCCGCGACCAAATTTGCTGAAGCAGTTTCAGAATTGCGTCAATAAACGAGAAAGTTACCCCACAGTGAAACTAACTTGCACCAAATACGGTATTGGAAATTTTAAAATACCCAAAGTTAATGGAGGGCGCCTTAAGTTAATTTGTTCTTCGAAGTTTTTTCGGAATTTATTACGACGTGTGTTGATCGATTTTGCTTCAGCTTGCGGCCGCAGACGTTTCGTTTACGGGAACGTGAAGGCTCAGAAGCGAATAGTGGGTGGTGTGGAGGCAGCCCCTGGTGATTGGCCGTTTCTCGCAGCCATTCTTGGCGGACCCGAACACGTCTTCTATTGTGCCGGTGTTCTCATTGCCGATCAGTGGGTTTTGACCGCGTCCCATTGTGTTGGAAAGTATGTGCAATATATATAAAATAATTTATAAAAAAAAAATATCGAAACATCTCAACTATGAGATCGGATTTTATATTAACAGCTTCAGCCAAACAGAGGTGTCTGGTTGGACAATACAGCTCGGTATTACCAGAAGACTCTCTAACAGTTATCTCGGTATCAAGCTGAAAGTGCGAAGAGTGATTGCACATCCGAATTACAACATGAGAGCTGCTCACGACAATGACATAGCATTATTCCAAGTAAATTTGTATTTATATTTAATTTTAAATATTTAACACAAAAAATATTTAACTCGAAAAATATACGTCGCATGTAAAATTATTCTAGCTGTTGCTTCGGTCTTAATTAATTAGAGCTTTGCTATTTTTTCTTACTTGATATGTATGCACGTGTTGTTTTGTGTTGCAGCTTGAAAGACGAGTTCAGTATCACGAGCATCTGAGGCCGGTATGTTTACCGACTGCTGCTACGAATCTTGTACCTGGTACTCTTTGTACGGTCATCGGTTGGGGCAAGAAAAACGATACTTACAGTAAGTAATCAAGAAAATACCGCAATCTAAAGTTATCTTCGTTACACAACGCATTATTTTATTTATTTATTTCATAGCTTCTGAATACGAACCCGCTGTAAACGAGGTACAAGTTCCCATCCTCAATCGACAAATTTGTAACTCGTGGTTAGCGTTCAAAGAATTAAATGTCACCGACGGAATGATTTGCGCCGGTTATCCAGACGGAGGAAAGGACGCGTGCCAGGTAAATTTATTTTTAAATTATGATCAAAGATAAGAAAAATAACGTAAATCACCGAGATGTTCTTCTTCAAGGGGGATTCCGGTGGACCCTTATTGTGTCAGGACAAAAACGACAAGGAGAAATGGTACGTCGGCGGAATTGTCAGCTGGGGCATAAAATGCGCTCATCCAAAACTGCCCGGAGTTTACGCTTACGTGCCCAAGTACGTGCCATGGATCCGAGAAGAAATGGCCAAGTACTCCGATGGCAGGTGGAACGCGTAATCGACCGAATATCGCGTGAATCATAAAACTACGATAAAATCGTAGGCAACGACAAATCGAATCGAATAAGAAGGCAAAAAGATGAAATGAAATAGATCTCAAATAAATTTTCATGTTTGCGTTTCATGTAGCTGATACGCATTGCGATATTCAAACAAGGAATTCAAAGAAATTATCAGTTCACTATATTTAGCAATTATCAGACCGCCATGTTTATGTTATCGTTTATCTACGCTTGGCAATTGCGAGGATTATTGTAGACAATTAAGACAATATCGTTTGCACATATCAACATTAGATTGTGCAACACACATTGCATTAAAAAATTCAACAGATAACTGTGCGCAATTAAAAAGGCGCAGACAAATAACGGAAGCTGATAAAAATCGTTTGTAAGACAAATAATTGAAGTTGTTTGCCAAGCTTTGAAATATTCCAGACGTTACTAGCACTGACGTAACTGAATTTGATCTCACAAGTGTGATAACGGCAAAAATCAACCAAGGAAGTCCATATCGCGATCAACGGACGAACAAATTTATTATAGAACTCGATTATCAACATATTCCGAAATATTAACGTTTCTCATGACAATACATTCTCTCATAACTCCCCAATCGAATCTTCGTCGAGTTTTCGTAAACAAAAATTTGCGATAAGCGTTTCATTGACAATAAGATAATCGAGGAAACATAGAATATGCTATTTTGTAACTAAAGTTGCACTACTAACGCGTCCGCGTTCACACGATGTTCAAATAATAAGCCATTTTCTAGAAAATTATTAGACAAAAAGATCGGTCTCATTAAAAGATGCCGATGTACGTACTTTTGGTACTAAAACAAGAAAACTATCTCTTGAGGATTTGTGTCAAAGTGAAAAAAAAATCACGCATATGATGCGACAATAAATAATTTTATAGCTGCTGACCTCAAGGCAGCCGTGTGAAGAAACCACCAAGTGGTTGAAGATTTTTTTGATCTAGGTCTGTGTGTTGCGTAGGGTGTGCGTTTAACTAACAATGGCAACGCTCGTTTAACGATACGAGCTGTTTTGAGAGGAATAATGGTGCAAGTCGTGTATTTTCTAAAACATTTACGCGCGACGTTTATATATCGACGTAAAATTAAAACTTTGTTTTTAAAATAAAACAAAATATTTAATACAAACAGAAAATAGAATATATTTTGGAAAATTAAAAACCACAGGAATTAATTTTTCTAGTAAATTGTTTCCTTAATTTTTTTAAAGTATCTTCAGAAACTTTTTTATTGTTCTAAAATACACGTTCTACCACTATTCTGCTCAACAACTTGTATACACGGATGGCAATCATGGAAAAAAAACTCTGTGATGTATATAAACAATCCTCATATTTACATACTATATACACATATATACATAAAACCAGGGAAAGATTTTAAACATTCTTTGAAATAGCTCTTTTTTTGTTTATACGTGATCATATTTACACATTTGAAGAAAGAAGCTAAACGTTTTTCGAGAAGCTGTGGATGATACGGTTTTGCATTTGATGCAAATATACTCCATCGTATTTATTAGGAATTATTTTAATACATACACTAAGGCAAAAAAATATTATATACATAGTAAAAAGTTCTAATATATAAACATATATATATACATATATATATATAAAATCAATAAGCTGTATTTTTGTAAAGAAATGAGTTAAGCGCACATCGCTACATGCAAACTGTGTACACATATTGCATGAAATGCATCGGTGTACCGCGTTTGACTAATTTAAGTAACAAGCATGCGACAATATCCTACGCCAAGAAATGTTTACGTGCTTATGTATTGATATATGTATATATATATATTGATGTAAACACATTACAAGACGTAATGCGCAGGTAGTTCTCTGTATAATACCGTGTTGTTTGTTGAGAAGCGCGGGAAACTATATAGTCACATGGTGCGTGAACGCAAAACATGTGACATTTTTGCATACCGTGCTTTTCACCGAATCGTTTTCACTCGAGGACTATAAAGTCTTCTTCTATGTGTGATTGAAAAAAATATTCCGGTCCTCAAGTGACCGAATGAAATCTAACAAAAAAACAAAAGTGCTAGAATCACACACTGAGAATATTGTACAATTCTACATTTACGCGAGCAAACATTTGATGTAGATCTCGTATGTTATACGAGAGAATGCGGTAACATATCTACATGCGGATTGAAGATGAAAGAACTGCCATGACACGAATAATAGCGATCTCGTATATTTTACTGCAAACGCTGTGGGAACGAGCGTTGCAGTCTAAATCTTATTTTTGCGCATAGACACGTAGCAAGTGTGTGTATTCCACTGTGAACGCTTTTCAGCGAGTAATAGCGTTGCAGTCTAAAGTTGATTTGCGCCCGTGCGTAGATTCGTCATCGTTCTGCAAAGCAGAATCTTTGTCAAAGCACGGTATGCAAAAAAAAAAAACAGTTATTTTGTTTTTGCACCAAGTAAAGAAAAATTCATTTCAAAGTAGTATGAGATAAAACAACAATTTAACAGAATATCCACACACACAATCGGAAATTCAATTCAACACGCGCGTTAATGAGCATAAATGTGTTGCACGTATAAATTGTTGCACGTACATGTGGTAAATATGATTTAAAAGTAGAAGCTTGTGTAGAATTAGCGTTCGCAGCACTGTTAGTCAATACATGTAGACACGTAAGGAACATGTTGACTGAATTCTAGGGACAATACTCTGCACCAGCACTTTTTTGATCTGCACTCTAGAGATATTGTTTTTCAAGGAATATACTTTGTAATGAGATATATATGTATATATATTTTATTTACGGAGTCTACCGAGCCTTGTTAAAATTGTCTTAGATTTTTCTACGCGATAAGATGATAAATAGCGATATTGTCGGCCAAAACTGTCGGCCACCTTGAAATCTCTAAGCTTGGTTTACACATAAAAATCTATATTTAATTAATTGCTTGAGATTGCTACGATTGAGAGAAAACGCTCTTGCTTTGAATTTTCGAGCAATCGCTTTTTTTTGTCTCGTTTTCTTTATGGTATTTCACGCTGAAGAGAACAACGTTCGATCTTCGAAAGATCTGTAATTAATTCTCAAATGTTACAAAAATAATTTACAAAAGTTATTCTCTTCTAAATTTATTCTGATAATACAAACTTGATTTGTTATTTAAGGAAAAAATCTCATATTTATTAACAATTTTATCTAAGAAAGATTTCTTTTAACAGAAAGTTACAGACAATAAAAAAATGTTAGACAATAATGGTCTTCCTTAGCATCCAGACAACAGTTTAGCTGTGTAAAAATGGATAATATATACATATATATATATATATATATATAACCGACAATACTGTGTGAGCAGACAATAAATAGAGTTAGGAAATGTTCCATTAGCGAACAATAAATTATCTATTAAGAATTAGACTAAGAAATTGTTTGTAAATCTAGGATACGCAGAGATAAATTACTAATTAGACTATATATTGTGATGAATACGTCAATGGTTTATAGATATATACGCATATATATTATACATATATGTACACATATATACGTACATACGCGTAAGAATAATAGACATAAAAAAACAAAAACAAAAGTATAGCCAATACGTAAATAGATATCTCGAAGAACATAGAACGTTTTCTAAAGGTTTTACACAAAAACAATTAATTATTTATTTACAAGAGATTTGAAAGAACTTATGTGGTTTTTGTTAATAGTTGTTCAGTGTCAAATTAAAAGTAACAACGTATTTAGAACTATTTTTTTAGAACTATTATACTTTATTTGGAACTATCTTTAAAAGTTTTAAATAAACGTAAAAAACACTCTGTTAAACTTTAATTTTAGTAACTGATTTTATCGTGAAAAATTCTTGAGTTTTACGAAAAGTTAACGTGCAAATATTTACATATAAATGAACAGAAAAACAAAAGTTCGTTTTATTTTACCTTATAATAATAGGAAGACATTAGCACATCAAGAGATTTACGTGTGTTAATAGAATTTAGAGACAATAGATTTGAATATACGTGTGCAATCAAACTGTCACCGCGATCGCGAACTGTTTGATCTATATTTGAAAATTCGATTGTTTAAATGGTACAGACACAAAAATATTTTTGTTTTATTACTTTTTGTGCGTTATTTTTCTTAGCGTTGCGTACGTGTGTAATAAAATTTAGACAAAAGATTATTAAATACATACTAAAGAATATTAGCAAATACGAACTTTTAGTGAGAGTTATTTAGCGGAAATTATTTAGCGGAAATTATTTATGAGAAAAAAAATTCAAAAATTCTAAACCATGATAAAGACATCGTTTTACGTACAACTTCTAGTTGAAGAATTAACGAGTCAATATTCGTGGTCAATTAAAGAGCAATTGTCGTGTAGCGTGTTATAATTTACAAAGTAATAAGATCTATTAGACTTCGTAGACGTAAATCGCGTTTAACTTATAAACTATATAAATGAAAGTACGTTTCGCTTTATATACTACAGTTACATGATTAGTAAGCTCTTTAGTATTCCGCGCCAGTTATCTATAGTTACTTTTTCGCTCTGCAACACTCATCGAAAAAGATCGTAACGATATCTCTACGCTCCTGAACAGGGAAAGTGATTTGTGTGTGTATGTGCGGGTGCGTGCGTGTGTGGTAAGTGTTCAAAGATAAAAATTTACTTGTGTATTGAGAAGAAGTGGAGAAAAATGCTACGCACAAAAATATCTCTCTCGCGAAGTAATCTTTCTAAAAGATACTACGAAAAATAAAAAAAAACTACGAAAAAAATAACTACTCCTATGAAGTCAATGTCAGATAGAGTAAGGTAGTGTATATGATGTATACAGATATATATATATATATATATATATATGTATATGTATATATATACATCATGTATACATATATGAATTGTCGCAAAACATTGCACAAATATGAACGATCACTCGAAGCATTCGTGCTGCATTATCGTGAGTGCGTTCACACGTAGTTAGGTTCAATAAATCGATAGAAGTCAAAAAGAGACAAAAGTGATGTAAAACGACACGGTATAAAAAAGAATTCTATACTTTCTATACTTCCTTAGTACGTAATAAGAGAGGTTTAGCGAGACAATATACGCGAAATTTCATTGTTTGCTAGTCGCAGCTAAACGAGTTCGAGAACAATTTCTCACATCTCTTTGTTTTCCGAGCTTCTTAACTCGGCTTTTTTAGAAAAACAATTGAAAAAATTGTTGAAAGTCGGCGCGTTTAAGAAAAACGACACGATGTGTCGAAGAAGAAACAATGCAATTGGAACACGAAGAAGTCCGACATTTTACAATATTTTTCAATTATCAAATGATCTCTATATATTCCAAGGAAAGATCTAGAAGTTAAGTATCTGAAGAGAAAAAAATGTGTCATATTGCAACTATACAATCGTTACTGAGCTTGAAGATTACTGTAATATTATATACCGAGAGATTTTGACATCGACTATGCACAAAATATAAAATCTATGTTGTGTGTATTTTTATTTTTCATAACTTGTTGAAAACACTTGATTTTCTTCAATATTCAGAGAGAACTATTCATTATTATTTTTACATTTTTATTAATTTAACAAAATATTAAAATAAAACAAAATCAAAGCTTACGTTAATTTTATAATAGTCGATATCAAAAATAATATAATATAAAAATTTTAGAATGTAGTGTGTACTTTACAGAGATATGTCAGTCGTGATGATGAGAAGTTTTACAACAGATATTTGTACATAGTATACACATTAATTTGATAAAAAATTAATTTGAGCTCAACACACATTACAGAAACGTATGATATTCTTTTTTTCAAAATATACTCAATTTTCTCTCTTCTAAAATATGAAATGTATAATTACGCAATTTAACATTATTTCCAACAATTTTATTTTTTGTCACTATAATTTTACGTGATTGATATAAAAGAATCGTTAAGTATTTCAAAAGAGTATAATACTTAACAATTACGTATATCACTCGCATATTTATCAAAAATATACATAGCTGTTAAATATATTAAAGCTCTAAAAAAATGCTGTGTTGATATCGATGTGTCACTCTTAAGTACATGTTGGTGCATTATCGTAACTAGGTTTACCAAAA